CTTGATCATGTTGATAGTCTTATAGGAATAGAACTGCTTCATCAAAATCAACTTGATATTGTCAGAATACCAAGGCAGTAACATTACTTTCCTATATATTCAGCATTTGAATTTTCATCTCTTATCACTAAAATCTCCAGAATGTAATTGAGTCTCTCTATGACAATGTTAGTATTACCTTATATTGTAACGTTATTCCACAACGTAACAACAATGTTGCAATCACAAAGGGTTTTGTAAATAATGTTTAGGAAACAACTTGCAGATCTACTATCTCTTAGGTTTATTTTGTTTAAACATATAGATCTATTTACGAAGTAACCTGTATACCATGGTATACTAAATGTTTAATGAAAATTAAGCTTACATGAGTAAGATAAAATTCCACGTTTTGTGAGTAACCGTTTTGTCATAGTGTCACAAGCAATATTACAGTCATTTTTGCGGCATGAGAGTGACTGCAGAAAAGTAAAGCCTTCTTGCCTCGTGAAGTGACGCCATGATGTCGTCACGTTGTTGCGGAAGATATGTTGTCACCAGTCAACTCAGTTCAAGCTCACTCTGGACATATTACAACCAAGTGATTGTGCAGCAACTGGAACTGGATAGTTGATCTGGGAATTCGGATTAGATAAGTTAATTTTTCAAAAGCAGTCTCCGCTAGTTGTTATGTTTCTGTACATGCAATAGTCAAATGATTAATGTATCATATTATTCAGAAGTGGCGGGGCAGTTTGCCAGTCACTTTAACTAAGCTCCAGTGTTGATATTGATATTTGATACACAGACCATGATGTATATAGACGTAGGAGGCCCAAGGTTTTTTTTCCATATTTTTATTTTATGGATACAAAGGGTAGTTATCAAGGGCAAACAGTATATGATTGACCAGCTTTCAGTCTGGCGCCGTTTTATGGCCGTCATATTACGTTCGGGTTTCGATCGTAAGCGTATAGATCTAGGCCTATATATACTACTCAAAAGAAGTTAAGGATCACCCGATTCTTTCATAATGGTAAAATAAATCTGTCATGACATGAGAGATTACCTATAGTAATATGAAAGAATCAGGTGATCCTTAACTTCTTTTGAGTAGTATATAACATATGCATAGCCTACTGACCATGAACAGTCATTGCCATTTCTTCCATGTTCATGATGTTATTTCTGAAATCATTACTATTTAAAGTTTACTGTACATGTACTAATCTACTGACTTTCATTTTCGTGAAACAATTTTGCTCATTTCAGTCCAGGGGAAAGGTTGAGTAGATTTCTGTTATACAGCGAAGAGAGGGAATGAAAACAATGGAAGTATTTTCAGATCAACTAACTACAGGCTGCTAGTTTTCGCCTTAGTCTCAAGCGCTCAATGATGTTATTAAATTGTATTTTCGGGAAGAGACAGAAACATTTTGTTTCCAAATGGGCCTAATTAGCTCTGACTGAACTAGCCTCAATGTGGATCATCTGGTTGTTGGTGTTATCTAAAATTATATTGTAGCAAGGCGCTTACAATGTGTATTACTAATACAAAAGAATCAATTTATCTTTTTCCGATAAATATGGCCGACTCTTTCTAATAAAAATGAGCAAAAGTAAAACGAGTCTCTCGTCGCGTGCTATAACAGGGTGTTTGCAGTATGGTCCTCGGTGGTGGTGACAAATCGATAGTTAAAAGTTAAATATTACAATATATTGTCAGTGAGTTGGTCATCATTTGTTGATTATTAAGGTGAGATAGGTGTGGCCAATGTGCACCAATGAAAATACAATGAAACTGATAGCAACCATATTAGTTCGGTTTTCCATCTCCATATGTTGCCATGTAGGCTACCATACTACAGAATTATATTTAACGATATTGAACTATAATATGTTCAATAATTGTAGTAACAAATACATTTCATATGATACTTGGTTCTCTGAAACTTTTTGAAAATGAGAGAATAAAATGGTGATAAAAAACTGGACGAGTCTGGTTACAATGCTCGCTATGAAATCGTACCGGAGCTATAAACAGCGCAGCGATGAAGATGTGAGTCGTAATTAGTTACAATGCCTGTTTAAAATATCTATTCCCCGTTTGGGTTTCAGTTTAGAATAGGTCCCCAATAATCCATGTTTGTACTAACAGCTGCCTTAGGGGCGACAAAATGAGGGTTGATTGTGTGTCATTGTACTCCGACCAAGGTTTTGGGATGTGGCTCATAAAACCAATCACTGGTTTGTCTGGCTAATATTCCACTATTTTCAGACCGGAGTATGGAAACAAAATTACGTTAGGTGTTTTTTTATGATGGTACTCACTTAATAATTTTGTTACTTATATCTGTAGCCTGAAATATTTCCGATCTGACGTATTACATGTGGACATTTACAGTTTTTCCCAAATTTTAGACAATTATATAATATATGTTACCTTATGGGATCGACTATAAATACATGCTTATTGAATAGAGTTCTAGTTTTGACTTTGTTATACATGTTATAATGTGGAACATTGCTGTTTTCGCTGCAGCAAGGTGAAAATGGGACACAAGTATTCAAGGAGATAAAATCAGGAATGTTGGATCATTGAGGAATACACCAAATCAAACCTGGGCTGTCAATTATGTTAACATAAGTACAGTTGTTAAAATCCATTGTCTATATACATGTTAGTGGTTTTGTGGCTTTAAATGAATGCAAATTGGAAATTATCTATGGAGATTAGATATCTTATGGGTCACAGTTACAAAACCAGATATATATTTATATTTAACACGATGAGCCTGAAGATAAGCACCTTGCAACTAGATCTATGGCATTTTTGTGGCAGGCAAGTTTTTTTCACCAGTCTGAAGCATAAATATTTTTGTCAAGAATTTTTGGAGGCAATACATTTTTGCCAAGTCTGCCATTCTTATTTTGTTTCCTGCAGTACAAGCCTAAAGGGTGATGGTGTCTGACTATTTGTTATACTCATATGTATCTAGTTAACAGCTCAGTGGTGTTTTCCTGTTTTGAACATTGTCAGCAAAACACGACCTAACTGTTGCTGGGCTGTTTGATGCCCTGGTTTCAAAACATTTGTAAAGGGTATCTCGAATCATACATATTTACTTGACTAAAGCATATCCTAAAACAATTCCGGAACATGTTTTTGGGAGGGATTTTCAATATTTTTGCGGGAAATGGTCATGAGCTAACGTTGTCGCAACGTATTTCATCCTTCTAACACAAAGTTACTTCACGTCGCTGTTACAACGTCCATGGTAATCCACAGATAAACGTTGTAGGGACGTAATATTATAACACATTGCCACAACGTAAAATACAACATTACCACAACGTAATATCCCTAACCTTACCACAACGTAAAGTTATGACAACATGAAATTGTTAGCTGGGCAGACGTACCATGGAGAGTGTGAAAGTTGAATTTAATGCTACTATAAAGAGTACAGTAGAACACGGATATAACGAACTACAAGGGACCAGAGAAATCAGTTTGTTATATCCGTTGTTCGTTATACACGTTTTCTCTCGGAAACGTCCACCATCTTGGATAAGACAAAACACAATTGCAGTGTTACATGTGAAATCTTCATGGCCTAATTTCACTGCTAGTTCGTCTGCTTTGGTCTTTCTTGGTTTTTATGCCAGCGTCAACAATTTCGTCTCTAAACTGATAGCTTTCCTCTTTTTATTGATGATAGCATATGCAAGTGAACTGACACTTGGACACATCTCGTAAAATGTATATGTTTAATGTTTGTTTTACAGACAAGCTTACATGTACAGGTAAGATTAACACAATGCAAATTTAACAAGGTTGATCCGTCACCGCTGATTGTATTGATTCGCCACTGATTGCATACAGCCAATTGTCAGTGACACTTGACACTGAGTGAGATATCTCAGTTCGCTATACACATCACTAATTATCAATAGATGGGCTAGTTGGTGATCAGATATCAGTTCGCTGTATCCGTTAGTTCGCTGTAGAGAGTTCGTTATATACATAAATTTTAAATGATATTATATAGGAGATAAATCGGGTATTTTTTAACAGTTCGTTGTATCCGTTTGTTCGCTATATCCGTGTTCGTTATATCCGTGTTCGTTATATCCGTGTTCTACTGTACTTTAATTATATCACAATGTGTCATGTAACTGACACAGGTGGAAGACATTTACCAATTTAGCGAAACCTACAAGCATTTGCTGACAGTCATTAACTTGGTAAATTATTTTTGCCTTAACTGAAACTTAAAACAAAAGCTCCTATAAAGCTAATTATGACATCCTGGGAGTATGCAGCGTAGAAATTAGCACTTGTCCTGTAGTCATTGCAAAACTGCCCAATATTTAAGGTATCAAAAGGAGTAGCAGAAAGTTGTCATTATAAGGGTTTTGCTATATACGTTATCATTATAAGGTCAAGGCTAGTGCACGAAAAATGTTAGTTTCTATGGCTGAGTATATGGTATTTACCAATTCCTTCAGTACAAGATGGTGTCTACACAAAAGCTACACGTGAGATCAAACTCTACTTTAGAGAGAATGTACATTCAATTTATGTGAATCCATCGCTTATTATGACATAGGCCCATAAACTAACTTTAGAAAATTGTACAGTCTTGGCAAAATGCTCGAGATACGTATACACTATGGTAACACAATCAATAAAATATATTATATTCATTTCACAGTGAGAATCATTTTCAAATTATCAGATTCTTGTTAGTTCATTTGCCTGACCCATGTACAATGTATCTTGCAAAGTTGCCTCATCTTACCAGCCAACCAGAAATGACCACGCTCACTTGTTCGAACTTCGATTATGATGCTCTCTGAATCGTAACGCCACGTGCTTCATAATGCCTTATAAACAAGTCAAATAGAACTGACTCAACGAAAGGGTGATATTATTCACAGGTCAAGCACACGTTGATTATAACTTTTAACCATCACCTTAAAATCAACACATAAAACAGCGTGTGTAATATACTTACGATAATGCCGACTTAGACTTCGCCATGTTACAGAGTTATTTTTAGCAGGTGCCCGCTTTAGTTTCGCTTTCGATCTTAACTCATTTGATAAAGACACTGTCATGTTTTTAAAACATAAAATACAGTAAAATATGACCAATACTATGAATCTAAATGTTGTTAACTTTGCAATATTTCCGTAGTTTGGTACACATCAAATAAAATAAAAGAAGGAAGTCGTCACAAAACGAATTCAGGAGAATATTAACTAGCAATCAATCATATAATAAATAATAAAAAAAATACTAATTCCATAGATACATACGCTATGTACATATAAAAACAATAAATGTTGTTATGTCGATGTTAATAATGCAGAAACAAATCATACAAGATATTCCTAATCCGCCTTAAGTGTTTTATTTTGAACTAATCAATATTTTCTGCGCATGCGTATTACTGACAATTATAAGTTGTTTACTTCCGTTGTAATGGAATGATGTCAGTGTAAATAATGTTTCATTCATGTCATCTTAAAAGGATTAAGACGCTTCCAGATCTGCAATAACGATGTCGTGTGGCGGAACGGAGTCGGTAGATATATCTAGTATGTTTCTTCACCATAAATTCGTCCAGTGAAATTAATACGAAATAGTGAAACAAGCGAACGAAGTATTCTGTGGCACATTTTGTATGGCGAATGGCATATAGCCTAATAGAGCAACGATATGCAGATGTAGCTTACATAGCGGCTCTCGTTTCACAGATCTTGGGTGCCATTTCGATCCTTACGGTTAGGGTAGCTTACCCCAACTCTGTCCTTAGCCCTTAGATCTCCTTTCCGATTTTCGATGTTTATGAATTGCTTTGACGTTAAATTTCGAGGTGTAATCATATTAAATCCTGTAATTGCACGCAGCCTTTGTTCACTGCAGGGTCATTGTTTTCTGCTTATTTTCAGCTTTATCTCCCTATTTTTCAAAAAGACATTTACAAAACGGATGAATGAATCTGGTATAGAAATCTACTGCATTCTAGCCCCCTTCTGATCAAACCCTCCTATAGGATCATAAGTGTTATGTAGACTTTTCAGATTGAACACCTCTTCATGATCCTTAGAGATCCTGAAAATGCTTCCATCAGTCATTGATGTCCATGTGTAGTCGGACCGCCTCCGTGGTCTTGTGGTAGAGCGTCAGCCCGGAGAGCGGATGGTCCAGGGTTCGATCCCGGGCCGCGTCATACAAAAAGACGTTAAAAGATTGTACTTGTTGTTACCCTGTCTGGCGCTCGGCATTAAGGGGCTAAAACAAGGACTGGTCGGCTCGGAGTCAGTATACTGTGTCTGAGTGGGGTATTCATGTTAAACTGCGGCATGGTATCTCAGTGAGCTAGCACTATAAATCGGCATCAGTCCGGACTAGTACAAGCAGCCACACACACACATACACGTGCATGCACGCCGCTATATAAGTGCAATAATCTTGGATGCGACATTAAACCCAATTTCACCTCACCATGTGTAGTCATTGATGCCAATGTGCAGTCATTGGTGTCACTGAGTAGTCATTGATGTGCATGTGCAGTCCTTGAAGTCTATGTGGAGCCATTGGTGCCCATGTGTAGACAGTGATGTCCATGTGTAGTCGGTGTTGTCAATGTGTAGTCATTGATAATCAATGATGCCCATGTCAAGTCATTGATGTCATCTCCCCTATGTCCAATGTCATTTCCCGTGTGTCCAATGTTTTCTTCCCTGTGTCCAATATCATCACCACTGTGTCCAGTGTCATCTTCACTGTGTCCAATGTCATCTCCTCTGTGTCCAATGTCATCTCCCCTGTACATGCTGTGTCCAATGTCTTCTTCCTTGTGTGCAAAGTTTTCTTCCCTGTGTGCAAAGTCTGCTTCCCTGTGTCCAATGTCATGTCCATTGTGTCCAATGTATTCTTCTCCTGTGTCCAGTGTCTTCTTCCCTGTGTCCAGTGTCTTCTTCCCTGTGTCCTGGTGTCCAATGTCTGCTTCCCTGTGTCCTGGTGTCCAATGTCTGCTTCCCTGTGTCCTGGTGTCCAATGTCTGCTTTCCTGTGTCCTGGTGTCCAATGTCTGCTTCCCTGTGTCCTGGTGTCCAATGTCTTCTTCCCTGTGTCCAGTGTCATGTCCTCTGTGTCCAATGTCTTCTTCCCTGTGTGCAAAGTCTTCTTCCCCGTGTCAACTGTCTTCTTCCCTGTGTCCAATGTTTTCTTCAATGTGTCCAATGTCATCTCCACTGTGTGCAAAGTCTTCTTCCCTGTGTCCAATGTCTTCTTCTCTGTGTCCACTGTCATATCCACTGTGTGCAATGTCTTTTCCCCTGTGTCCAATGCCTTCTTCCCCATGTCCATTGTCTTCTTCTTTGTGTCCAATGTCATCTCCACTGTGTGCAAGGTCTTCTTCCCTGTGTCCAATGTTTTCTTCCCTGTGTCCAATGTCATCTCCACTGTGTGCAAAGTCTTCTTCCCTGTGTCCAATGTTTTCTTCCCTGTGTCCAATGTCATCTCCACTGTGTGCAAAGTCTTCTTCCCTGTGTCCAATGTTTTCTTCCCTGTGTCCAATGTCATCTCCACTGTGTGCAAAGTTTTCTTCCCTGTGTGCAATGTCTTCTCGCCTGTGTCCAATGCCTTCTTCCCCATGTCCATTGTCTTCTTCTCTGTGTCCAATGTCATCTCCACTGTGTGCAAAGTCTTCTTCCCTGTGTATAATGTCTCTTCCCCCGTGTCCAATGTCTTCTTCCCTGTGTGCAAAGTCTTCTTCCCTGTGTCCAATGTCTTCTTCCCTGTGTCCAATGTCTTCTTCTCTATGTCCAATGTCATCACCTCTGTGTCCAATGTCATCTCCCCTGTGTGCAAAGTCGTCTTCCCTGTGTCCAATGTCATGTCCATTGTGTCCAATGTATTCTTCTCCTGTGTCCAATGTCTTCTTCTCTGTGTCCAATGTCCTCTCCCCTGTGTGCAAAGTCTTCTTCCCTGTGTCCAATGTCATGTACATTGTGTCCAATGTATTCTTCTCCTGTGTCCAATGTCTTCTTCTCTGTGTCCAATGTTATCTCCACTGTGTGCAAAGTCTTCTTCCGTGTGTATAATGTCTCTTCCCCCGTGTCCAATGTCATCTTCCCTGTGTGCAAAGTCTTCATCCCTGTGTCCAATGTCTTCTTCCCTGTGTCCAATGTCTTCTTCTCTGTGTCCAATGTCATCACCTCTGTGTCCAATGTCATCTCCCCTGTGTGCAAAGTCTTCTTCCCTGTGTCCAATGTCATGTCCATTGTGTCCAATGTATTCTTCTCCTGTGTCCAATGTCTTCTTCTCTGTGTCCAATGTCATCTCCCCTGTGTGCAAAGTCTTCTTCCCTGTGTCCAATGTCATGTCCATTGTGTCCAATGTATTCTTCTCCTGTGTCCAGTGTCTTCTGCCCTGTGTCCAATGTCTTCTTCCCTGTGTCCTGGTGTCAAATGTCTTCTTCACTGTGTGCAAAGTCTTCTTCCCTGTGTGCAAAGTCTGCTTCCCTGTGTCCAATGTCATGTCCATTGTGTCCAATGTCATCTCCCCTGTGTGCAAAGTCTTCTTCCCTGTGTCCAATGTCATGTCCATTGTGTCCAATGTATTCTTCTCCTGTGTCCAATGTCTTCTTCCCTGTGTGCAAAGTCTTCTTCCCTGTGTGCAAAGTCTGCTTCCCTGTGTCCAATGTCATGTCCATTGTGTCCAATGTATTCTTCTCCTGTGTCCAGTGTCTTCTTCCCTGTGTCCAGTGTCTTCTTCCCTGTGTCCTGGTGTCCAATGTCTGCTTCCCTGTGTCCTGGTGTCCAATGTCTGCTTCCCTGTGTCCTGGTGTCCAATGTCTTGTGTCCTGGTGTCCAATGTCTGCTTCCCTGTGTCCTGGTGTCCAATGTCTGCTTCCCTGTGTCCTGGTGTCCAATGTCTGCTTCCCTGTGTCCTGGTGTCCAATGTCTGCTTCCCTGTGTCCAGTGTCTTTTTCCCTGTGTCCAATGTCATCTCCACTGTGTCCAATGTCTTCTTCCCTGTGTCCAATGTCTACGTTGCCCAGCTGCATTTATGGGGAATAACTAACAAGACACTTCCCTCTCAAAAATAACTTTGTCCAATTTACAATGTCATCAAATGGCGAGCACATGTTTGAATTTCCAGAAATGACATCATCATAGAACAATGTTTTATCGTGAAATAAACCATGCTTTGTTCTTCATTGTTCTTCACGATATATTTCTTAGCTATCTTTTATTATAAATGACGTTGTTTAGGGGAGCTTTGTTGTGTGATAAATGACATTGTTTTCTGCATGTGTAGTAAGCCTGATGTGATAATAAATTTCAGGATACAAAAATGTCACTTTATAAAGTAGGCAAATAACACATGCATTCTTGCACAATTAAATAATCGACAGCATGTATACATATATGTGTTCAGTTCCAGGCTGAATGTTGGATCAGACCTGTAAAGATCCGTATAGAGAATAGGCCTTCAGCAACCAAACCTTGCCTTAGGAGGCGACTAGTGGGATTGGGTGGTGCATGTCATCGTATTTGCCAAAATCAGTGCTCATGATTTCAATCACTGTATTGTCTAGTTCAGACTCGATTATTTACAGACTGTCTTTATATAGCTGAAATATTGCCGAGTGCAGCGTTAAACAACAAACTAACAAACAAAATGTTGGATGTATTTTGTAGCATTTGTCCTTAGAAGGAGCTGGTAACCACATCGGGTACTGCAGTCATATGTAGTATCATCAAGATCAATTAAAACTACAGTCGTGTAATGATAGATGTCTGATTACAAACTGCCAGAAGTCAGAGCAATAGTTATTGCTTCTAGTATTTCAAGCTGTTAGATGTGTAAGGTGGTGGCTCACAGTCCTGTGTACAGCACACAAGTCACAAATCAGGTGGTTGCAGAGACTCCATGGATCAGTGAGTGTGTGCGGCAGCTTGGCTCCTGAGAGTGTCTAGAGCTTTGGTATATGATAACATATGTATGGCATGGCACAAACAACAGCTGAAATAGAACAGTTTTTTACATTGCTTGAATACATTGAAGGCTATAAAGACATTTGGCGACACATGGCTTCAGGTGAATGGCTGCATATTTCCAGGATATAATCCTGAAAATCATTGATGATAATCTTACAAATAAACACCCTTATTTTCATTAACTTTTGAATGATAATTAAGCATTTCTTGAGGAGTATGTGTTAATTCATTTTTTTCTGTTAATGTTGACGAACTAGCGGCCTGAACATGCTACAGTTTTGTGACCTGTTTAGTGAGGTAGAATTTTCCTGATGTATTACATGTATGTACTTTTTTTATCATCTTTGTTTCAGCCAACACACCGAACACAAAAACAGGATTTTTGCGTAGATATAACAGTAAGTCTTCATGAGTCAAGACCAGCGATTCATATCTTGAACTGTTTGTTGTAGATCTGTATGTTGTAAAAAGAAAGAAAATAAATTGAAAATGGATCTTGTTAGTTTAGTGATTAACCATGTTAACCCAATCACTACCATGTCTCTTCAAGTTTATGTTGGATTACCTGTCTGTCTATTTGGAAAACTTAGGTGCAGAGTTGCAACCTTTAGCGATGTCATGTAATCACAGATTCTTCCTGACTATGACCCTGAGTTTATGGATATTACCAATATGAAAAGCATCCGTCAAGTCTATGTCATGTTTCAGGCGTTTCTCAACATGATTAAAGTGACATTCAATCACACAGACAAGTTTATTACATTGTTTGGATCCAATCTCAATTCATAAAGGTCATGTTTTATTGAAGGTTTTAACTTTTCAGAGGGGTTCCTATCAAATGGATGGAAACAAAACTTTTTCAAACTGCACGCAGACAGTACCCTTGCATGGTATGACAGTCAGGGCAGCTACGAAGCCAGGGGAGCCGTGAGAATGAAGGTACTGTGTAAAGTCAATAGCAGGTAATACCTTGCAAGCCTCTTGAGGGAGGTACAGTACAAGCCACTACAGGGACATTACAAAGTACAAGCACTATAGGGACATTACAAAGTACAAGCACTATAGGGACATTACAAAGTACAAGCACTATAGGGACATTACAAAGTACAAGCCTCTATAGGGACATTACAAAGTACAAGCACTATAGGGACATTACAAAGTACAAGCCACTAGAGGGACATTACAAAGTACAAGCACTATAGGGACATTACAAAGTACAAGCCACCAGAGGGACATTACAAAGTACAAGCACTATAGGGACATTACAAAGTACAAGCCACCAGAGGGACATTACAAAGTACAAGCACTATAGGGACATTACAAAGTACAAGCCACTAGAGGGACATCACAAAGTACAAACACTATAGGGACATTACAAAGTACAAGCACTATAGGGACATTACAAAGTACAAGCACTATAGGGACATTACAAAGTACAAGCACTATAGGGGCATTACAAAGTACAAGCACCATAGGGACATTACAAAGTACAAGCACTCTAGGGACATTACAAAGTACAAGCACTAGAGGGACATTACAAAGTACAAGCACTATAGTGACATTACAAAGTACAAGCACTATAATGAAAATTACAAAGTACAAGCCTCTAGAGGGACATTACAAAGTACAAACACTATAGTGACATTACAAAGTACAAGCACTAGAGGGACATTACAAAGTAAAAGCACTATAGGGACATTACAAAGTACAAGCACTATAATGATATTACAAAGTACAAGCCTCTAGAGGGACATTACAAAGTACAAGCACTATAGGGACATTACAAAGTACAAACCACTAGAGGGACATTACAAAGTACAAGCACTATAGGGACATTACAAAGTACAAGCACTATAGTGACATTACAAAGTACAAACACTATAGTGACATTACAAAGTACAAGCACTAGAGGGACATTACAAAGTACAAGCACTATAGGGACATTACAAAGTACAAGCACTATAGGGACATTACAAAGTACAAGCACTATAGGGACATTACAAAGTACAAGCACTATAGGGGCATTACAAAGTACAAGCACCATAGGGACATTACAAAGTACAAGCACTCTAGGGACATTACAAAGTACAAGCACTAGAGGGACATTACAAAGTACAAGCACTATAGTGACATTACAAAGTACAAGCACTATAATGAAAATTACAAAGTACAAGCCTCTAGAGGGACATTACAAAGTACAAACACTATAGTGACATTACAAAGTACAAGCACTAGAGGGACATTACAAAGTAAAAGCACTATAGGGACATTACAAAGTACAAGCACTATAATGATATTACAAAGTACAAGCCTCTAGAGGGACATTACAAAGTACAAGCACTATAGGGACATTACAAAGTACAAACCACTAGAGGGACATTACAAAGTACAAGCACTATAGGGACATTACAAAGTACAAGCACTATAGTGACATTACAAAGTACAAACACTATAGTGACATTACAAAGTACAAGCACTAGAGGGACATTACAAAGTACAAGCACTATAGGGACATTACAAAGTACAAGCACTATAGGGACATTACAAAGTACAAGCCACTAGAGGGACATTACAAAGTACAAGCACTATATGGACATTACAAAGTACAAGCCACTATAGGGACATTACAAACTACAAGCACTATAGGGACATTACAAAGTACAAGCCACTAGAGGGACATTACAAAGTACAAGCACTATAGGGACATTACAAAGTACAAGCACTATAATGATATTACAAAGTACAAGCCTCTAGAGGGACATTACAAAGTACAAGCCACTAGAGGGACATTACAAAGTACAAACACTATAGTGACATTACAAAGTACAAGCACTAGAAGGACATTACAAAGTAAAAGCACTATAGGGGCATTACAAAGTACAAGCACTATAATGATATTACAAAGTACAAGCCTCTAGAGGGACATTACAAAGTACAAGCACTATAGGGACATTACAAAGTACAAACCACTAGAGGGACATTACAAAGTACAAACACTATAGTGACATTACAAAGTACAAGCACTAGAGGGACATTACAAAGTAAAAGCACTATAGGGACATTACAAAGTACAAGCACTATAATGATGTTACAAAGTACAAGCCTCTAGAGGGACATTACAAAGTACAAGCCACTAGAGGGACATTACAAAGTACAATCACTATAGTGACATTACAAAGTACAAGCACTAGAGGGACATTACAAAGTAAAAGCACTATAGGGACATTACAAAGTACAAGCACTATAATGATATTACAAAGTACAAGCCTCTAGAGGGACATTACAAAGTACAAGCCACTAGAAGGACATTACAAAGTACAAACACTATAGTGACATTACAAAGTACAAGCACTAGAGGGACATTACAAAGTAAAAGCATTATAGGGACATTACAAAGTACAAGCACTATAATGATATTACAAAGTACAAGCCTCTAGAGGGACATTACAAAGTACAAGCACTATAGGGACATTACAAAGTACAAACCACTAGAGGGACATTACAAAGTACAAACACTATAGTGACATTACAAAGTACAAGCACTAGAGGGACATTACAAAGTAAAAGCACTATAGGGACATTACAAAGTACAAGCACTATAATGATATTACAAAGTACAAGCCTCTAGAGGGACATTACAAAGTACAAGCCACTATAGGGACATTGCAAAGTACAAGCACTATAGGGACATTACAAAGTACAAACCACTAGAGGGACATTACAAAGTACAAACACTATAGTGACATTACAAAGTACAAGCACTAGAGGGACATTACAAAGTACAAGCACTATAATGATATTACAAAGTACAAGCCTCTAGAGGGACATTACAAAGTACAAGCCTCTATAGGGACATTGCAAAGTACAAGCACTATAGGGACATTACAAATTACAAACACTATAGGGACATTACAAAGTACAAGCACTATAGGGACATTACAAAGTACAAACAATATAGGGACATTACAAAGTACAAGCATTATAGGGACATTACAAAGTACAAGCACTATAGGGACATTACAAAGTACAAGCACTATAAGGACATTACAAAGTACAAGCCTCTAGAGGGACATTACAAAGTACAAGCACTATAGGGACATTACAAAGTACAAGCACTATAGGGACATAACAAAGTACAAACCACTAGAGGGACATTACAAAGTACAAACACTATAGTGACATTACAAAGTACAAGCACTAGAGGGACATTACAAAGTACAAGCACTATAATGATATTACAAAGTACAAGCCTCTAGAGGGACATTACAAAGTACAAGCACTATAGGGACATTACAAAGTACAAGCCACTAGAGGGACATTACAAAGTACAAGCACTATAGGGACATTACAAAGTACAAGCCACTAGAGGGACATTACAAAGTACAAGCACTATAGGGACATTACAAAGTACAAACCACCAGAGGGACATTACAAAGTACAAGCACTATAGGGACATTACAAAGTACAAGCCACCAGAGGGACATTACAAAGTACAAGCACTATAGGGACATTACAAAGTACAAGCACTATAGGGACATTACAAAGTACAAGCCACTGGAGGGACATTACAAAGTACAAGCACTATATGGACATTGCAAAGTACAAGCACTATAGGGACATTACAAAGTACAAGCACTATAGGGACATTACAAAGTACAAGCCTCTATAGGGACATTACAAAGTACAAGCACTATAGGGACATTACAAAGTACAAGCACTATAGAGACATTACAAAGTACAAGCACTAGAGGGACATTACAAAGTACAAGCACTAGAGGGACATTACAAAGTACAAGCACTATAGGGACATTACAGAGTACAAGCAACATAGGGACATTACAAAGTACAAGCACTATAGGGACATTACAAAGTACAAGCCTCTATAGGGACATTACAAAGTACAAGCACTATAGGGACATTACAAAGTACAAGCACTATGGGGACATTACAAAGTAAGCACTATAGGGACATTACAAAGTACAAGCACTATAGGGACATTACAAAGTACAAGCACTATAGGGACATTACAAAGTACAAGCACTCTAGGGACATTACAAAGTACAAGCACTATAGGGACATTACAAAGTACAAGCACTACAGGGACATTACAAAGTACAAGCACTATAGGGACATTACAAAGTACAAGCACTATAGGGACATTACAAAGTACAAGCCTCTATAGGGACATTACAAAGTACAAGCACTATAGGGACATTACAAAGTACAAGCACTATAGGGACATTACAAAGTACAAGCACTATAGGGACATTACAAAGTAGAAGCACTATAGGGACATTAGAAAGTACAAGCACTATAGGGACATTACAAAGTACAAGCCTCTATAGGGACATTACAAAGTACAAGCACTATAGGGACATTACAAAGTACAAGCACTAGAGGGACATTACAAAGTACAAGCACTATAGGGACATTACAAAGTACAAGCACTATAGGGACATTACAAAGTACAAGCCTCTAGAGGGACATTACAAAGTACAAACACTATAGGGACATTACAAAGTACAAGCACTATAGGGACATTACAAAGTACATGCACTATAGGGACATTACAAAGTACAAGCCTCTAGAGGGACATTACAAAGTACAAGCATTTTAGGGACATTACAAAGTACAAGCAATAGGGACATTACAAAGTACAAGCACTATAGGGACATTACAAAGTACAAGCACTATAGGGACATTACAAAGTACAAGCACTATAGGGACATTACAAAGTACAAGCACTATAGGGACATTACAAAGTACAAGCCTCTATAGGGACATTACAAAGTACAAGCACTATAGGGACATTACAAAGTACAAGCACTATAGGGACATTACAAAGTACAAGCAATAGGGACATTACAAAGTAGAAGCCTCTATAGGGACATTACAAAGTACAAGCACTATAGGGACATTACAAAGTACAAGCACTAGAG